ATTGACTTCCAAGTTAGCTCCTCTAGATACAGTGTTATGTTGCCCCTAAGTATTTGTTTTTAATCAGAGATATCAAGAAAAAAATTAATTGTTGTTCCCCTCCCTCTCTCCCCCCCTCCCCCCCCCCCCTTCAGTTCTGCACTGTATAGGTTGAATTCTTTTACACGCATTTGTTCCCTCCACCATGCAAGAACACAGTGCATGCTTATACAGCCACAACTCACACTCAAAACAGCCAAATTTTCACTGGCTCCAGGCTCAGGAGCAGAAATAGTGATCACTGCAGCACTATAGAAGCCGTAACGATGGCACGCACACCTAGAATCAAGGAGTTGGTTTCATAACTGAGTACTTAAGTAGCTCCTGAGCTTGTAACATAGAGACTGTATGAGAGTGGAAACATTTCACCTGGCTAATTGCTGGCTCCTGAGAGCCACTGGTTGCTATTTAGATAAGTCAAGAAATTAAAAAAGACCTGAACACAATTTAATTTACCCAAAGTAGTTCAGGTCCTCTTTAGAAGCACAATTAGCATTTCTACCCCCATGCTCCCTAACAGCTCCAACCCCACAATTTTACTTTTGTAATTTCCCCCGGATAACAAAGTAGTAAATCAAAACATTATTAAGGCAACCTTATTAAAATTCTCTAAGCCTTTCTGGGTCAAACTTCATTTAGTTGGACTATTTCATTTCCATTCTTTAGTTCAGCGTTATTATTCAAAAATAATCCTTGCTATTATATTAATAACGCCAAAGAAGTCACGCCATGCAAAAAGCATTCGGTTTAAGAAGAGGTTTTGACCATGAAGAAGGGCAATCAAAGAAGTGCAGGGGTGTTCAAGAGACAGGGTAAAGAATAGACGTCTCTTTGATAATGGTTAAAACTGTCTACTCCAGATCACAATGCTGGTGTTGTTCGTGCTTGGCTGACCATATGGAAATTAAGCTTTTCCCCTGTTCCTCGCTGCTGCTTTCCCAATGTTGCCTTCTGAGCCATTTAATTACACTCTGTCATAAAATGGGGCCTGGGTCCAACAGGAACAAGGATCACCTAAGTGCTATTGTAATCACCGGCATGCTTGTATGGGCAATGGAGGTGAAAACCTTTACACTTCAGAAAGAGAAGAAAATGCATTTCATCAGTCACAACACAATGCCCCTCCTAAGCCTAAACAATTGCAAATGTACAGGCGCTGGGACACCGCCATAGCCACAATAAGGCCATTCATGTAGACTTTGCTGAGGCAAGTTAGGGCAAAAGGGTCAGAGGGCTATGAACTTTGATCTATGGTTTCAGATTTGGCAGGCCTTAAAAAACCTCCTGCTTCAGTAAGTTTCTTGATTAAGCTAATAAGAATTACACAAGAAGTGCTGTGATCTTAGCACTGCATCGGATTAGCTGCCTAGACGGTGTTCTGTGAAGCCTAAAAATCTCATCAAGAAGCATAATGAGAAATAGACTATGGGAATGTTGAGAAAAGGGTCTCGAGTTTGCGTTTTAATTACGCAGGCAAAGGTTTGAAATGAAAGTTACCTGAGAGCAGCGGCTTCTGAAGAAGCAGAGGACAATTTGTCTGTGGAAACAGACTTCTCAACTGAGCAAAACACAATTTGCAAATAAAAAAAGCTCAAAAGTGTTTTTCAAGATGAACCTTCAGTAATATAGGATCAGTTTTGCTTTTGCCATCTTCCATATAATAGCACGCGGTACTTAAATTCATGTAAGTTCCACAAATTAGTTCAACAAAAGAATGCCATCATAAGCATCAGGAATATTCACCCTTACCTAATTAAAACCATATCAAAGAAGTGCAAAAATCTTTCTTGTTGCAAAAGCTTACCAATTAATTCCTGAATTGGGCCATTAGTATATTAAGAATTTTGTCTATTTAATTAGCTATTACTGTACTTGACCTTTTTAGATCATATTACTGTATAATTTATCAAATTAATCAAATATAATTCATCCTTGAATTGTCAGGGTTTTTTTTTTGTTTATTTTTGTTTTTTTTTAAACCAAAGATATGTTTTGAAAAGCATTGTTGATAACAAAGAGAAATCTGAGGACCCTCAGCAAGCATACACTCAGGAACATTAAACATTCCACGAAAAGAACTAGATTTTATTATAATTATAAAACTCGTACCCCAATATGTTTAGCCCATTGTTGTAATATGTTTTCTAGTCTGCAGCTGGCTCAGATGATCAAGTCTTGGTGTACTGTTTTATAGTTCCTTATACATCACAGAGATGAGATGTAAGCCAAGATCCAGGCTTGGAAGCTGGATAGTAAAAGCTTGATCATTGTGCTTGCCTCTGGTCAAGCACCAGTAAAGGTAGCCATGTCCACAGCTTTATATAGAGTGGGAGAAGGAGGAACCTTTAACTACGTGATTGATTAAAAAGAAAAAAAAAAAAAAAAAAAGAAAAAAAACAAAAACCAAAAAAAAAAACAAACAACAACAACAAAAAAAAACAAACCAAAAAAAACCCACCACAAAATGAACAAACAAAACCCTACAAAATTGTGAACCAAAAAGCAGAAAACATCCAGATGACATCTTTGGGTATCACCCAGCTCCATGGTGGGTTGCTGTTCACAAGAACACAAAGCACTCCTATAAAGATAGGGTGCACCATGAGCTGACGGCAGAGCAGCACTAGGCAGCTGCATTCATCATTATGCTAATCCTCAGCCACAAGTTTTGATAAGTCTTTAGCATCTTGCACTGTATGCTCTCACATCAACAGCAAAACATTTCCCAGGAAATATTCCGAAATTGTTTCTTTGAGAAGTAAAGTTCATTTGTGGGTCAATGGGGTAATTATGGCAAAACGAGCCTGCCTAGTTCCAACAACACTTTCATATTTCAACAGCACTCCTTCCCATGATTCCCAAGCTACTGATTTCTCCTGTTCAGTATGCTTTTCCTCACAGGAAAATAGTAACAATAAAAGAAAGCTAATCACTACTATCAATTAGGAATCATCTCATAGAACAGGATATATTCTGAAATTAAAAAAGAAAAAAACATTGCACGATGCTTGCTAACATTCATATTTATATTGCTGACGTGTCTCACTGCCCGGCATCACTTTATCAGCTGCAAAGGATGCTGCAAAAGCACACTACAAAGTGCATTTTCCAGTATGCTTATAATTCCTCACCATTGCTGTGTTCTGCAGAGGAGTTTGAAAGAGCATGATATTGTATCTTGTCCATACATCAGGCTGCAGGGATAACCAGAAGGGAGCTTTTGAAGTTACAGTAAAAGAAAACCTAGTGCCAAATCCAACACAGCATGTTGAATCAAGTTGTTGAACTTGCTAGAAAGCCGTTTACATATACAAGCTGCACTAATTGCAAGATAATACATTTGTTTATCTTCAATTAGCCAAAACGCACAGCATAAGCTTACATGTCATTTGTGCTGCCTCGCACACATTTTTTTTTATTACTGTTACAAGAACATTTTTCCAATCAAGCATGTTAACAGCAAAATTAAAATCTAACACGAGTCAACTATCCTTTAATGTCAATAGAAAAGAAAGGAAACAGTAGTAAACAAAACAGCAGCACACTGAAACAGAAGGCAATGGTCAGTGCAAACAGCTACAGACGCAGGAGCAGAGTGGTGGCCCTGCATTACAGTATTCTTCCACCACTTGTATATGTAATCTGTGCATTTGTTACATTTTAAAATTCAGAGCCTCCTTCTTGAAAAGCTTAGGCTATTTTCTTGCTATCACCTATACGAACATGCTTGCTTACACCTCCCTACCACACAGCAGTGAAAGCCACTCACAAAGGTTTAACATGATTTAGGTGTAAAAAAGACATTCCTCTGAAGATGCTAAACTAGAAATGCAGACCAGAATCCTTCCCTTCTATCTTACTGCAGGCATAAGGGAAGCACCCGTTTATAAAGAGATGAAGCCTTTATTTCCTGGTTTTGATTCTGTTATGACTGTATTCCCAGATTTATAACTGCTGAACTGTTGACTAAACTGCTTTCGCTTCTGCCTTCTCTAGATATCTCAGCCTGATTTTACAGTGCCTTTGTAGAACTGACATGCTGCCAAGCAGCCACATACAACGTCTCCTAAAGAAAGATTGGTCCTCAAATAAGTGAGAGTAAGGAACAAACATACCCAAAGCATCTCAACGTCCTTATAAGATCAGCGGACATAGATTTCACACACTGGGTTAAACTCTTGGCTGTGGGCTGTGCCACAAACCCCAAGGCAGATGTGTCAGTCATGAGAACTGGTACGTGGCACCTGTTTACCTAGAAACATTAGACAAAGACAGGGATTTTGCAAGGCTTAAAAAGTCATCTAACTTGTGAGGACTGCACGATGCAACAAGACTTTGATTTATTGCATTATCACCAGGATTTGCTCCTCAGAAGTGTAACTAAATAAAGATGGATCTCAGCATGGGCCTGACAAGCAGATCTCAAGTAGAAAAACATGCATTTATCAACAACATATCTGAAAATAGTACTGTGTTGGAAAAGAATAATTGTGTCAATTGCAAAGTACTGTGTTGGAAAAGAATAATTGTGTCAATTGCAAAAAATGTATAATTCGATTTTCAGCTGCATCAGTTTCCTACTCCTACATTCATAATTATTGTGTTATCTCAACCTAGTGAGCCTCCCAACAATCTAAAAAAAAATGCCCAGATACAGATAATAAAAAAAAAAATATAGCATCACTGCTACAAACAAGAGGCAGCAGACCTTAGAGACAATCAAAGCAACAGAGACACAATAAGACCAGTCATCAGCAACAAGACCAGGGTCCAATTTTGTCAGCGTTCTGGCAAAGGACATTGGAAATTTCCATCTAATCTATGAAAATTTTGCCCATGTCCATTAATGTTAATATATATAAATCAAATAATATCTGATTTATATCAAGTACTGGAACAGGCTGTCCAAAGAGGTGGTGAAGCCTCCTCTGGAAATATTCAAGACTTGTCTGGATGTCTACCTGTGCAACCTCTTGTAGGAAATCTGCTTTAGAAGATGAATTGGATTAGATGATCTCCAGAGCTCCCTTCCAACCCCTGCAATAATGTGATTTATTAGTATTATCACAAATTTATTAGCATTATCACAGAATGTGCTTCAGGCAAAGCAGAAAAATACCCAAGTAAAAGCACATATAGGCACACTCAAAGCAGAGGTACCACCTTGTGTTGTGCTGGTCAGAGAGACTTTCTAACAGCTGGATTCAAAAGGAGGTTACAACACAAAAGCTTTGGTTTAATTTTACTCAGTGTTAAGAGGTGAAATAGAACAATTCACAAATGCAAAAAGACCAAGAAGGGAGAAAGATCAATACGAAAAGAATTAGTGCATAAGTTTTCAGATAGATGTGCCAGCATGGATTGCTTGGATTTGTAGTTATAAAGCAATTATTACTCAGCTCAATAATAATTTATTTAGCTACCATGGCAACTACTGAAATACATAGCATTCTTTTTCAGGCAAGAAGATGGCCTGCAGGAGACAAAGGGAGAAGGCAGCTCATGCATTGGGCAGACAGTGCTCTCTCTCCCCATGGATTCCATGTGGGCATGGCAGGGATGGGTTGACATTGGGCTAGGTAATCTTAGTGGTCTTTTCCAACCTTAATAATTCTATGACTCTGTAAATACTTGCTATCACACACCACTTCAGGATGGCTCGATGTAAAACTGCAGGATGCCAGACCCTTGCATGGAGCCAATTGTCAGGGTATAGAAGGTTGTATTCTAATAAGAAGATAATTTGATTATAGCATCAGATATTTTTCTGCTGCAATCCTACGAATATCTCACAATCCTTCCTACCTCAGCAACCGCACAGAGCAATGATTAGCACTTATCTCTGAGAAGCAGGGGACAGGCAAGGCCACCAAAAAAACTGAAAAGGACAGAGTTAATGCCTAATATCAAAAAGGATAAACTGAGGAGAAGAAAATTATAGACTAGGCAGCTTAGCTGCAGTTTCCTGGAAAAATTCTGGAACAAACAAAGCGTTTGTAGCCACCTGGAATATAACAAGGAGATTACGAGCAGCCGACATGGATTTGTCTAAAGCAAATTGCATCAAACCAGTCCAATTTCTTTCTGAAACAAAAGAAAAAGCTCTAAGTTAAGGCATTTAATGCTGCCCTTGTGTCCTCATATGCTAGCAGGGTAGTTTATCAAATTCCTGTTTAACAGGGGCAAAATGATGAGTGCAGATTAGTGACCCACACAAAGGCAAACAAGATACCTGAATAAAAAGGCTTTAGGAATATCACAGGTGTAGCTGATGTTATTTTCCATCAAGGAGGTGTAACAGGTAACTCACGCAGCCTCTTCTATGGAGAGGGAGTTTCAATTTTCTTCCTCTTTTTTAATCTCATCTGGACGATTTGTAAGGAATTTGTCTGGGGTTTCCAGACATGAGGTAGCCTTTTCCTGGCAAAAACCCCAGACTGACTACAGACATGCTATACCCTCACAGGGCACATATGCAATATATCGAGTTTTTTTGCCAAGAACTGCTCTATATCCAGAAATCAACAGCATACACATAACAATCCCGCACTTTGGGGAAGAATCAGCCTTCACTGAATAGACACTACTGAATGCAGTTCTACATTCATGAAAACTGGCACAGGATTACTGGGGTCCCCAGGATCCTGCTCCTTCTACACAACAGGAACAAAGCAAAACAAGAAATATTCTTTGGTCTCCTCTCCAGGTCATCTCTCCACCAAACACAAGCACTCTCTCAGATATGTATTTCTTTTAGTTTTAATAGCAGTGTAATAGCAAAATGAATACGTCTGATTCCTTTACTTCTGTGGAAGAATAAAATTCCAACAATATACATCCTATGTCCCAGCTCCTCTATTTAATGATTCAGCCTCTAAAATAAATTCTTCCTTTAACAGCTGAACCCTAGTGCTTAGCTATTAACATTCATAACGGAGTATGGATATAAGGAGGTGGGGTCCAATTTATTTTTCCAATTTACCTTAAACAAGGGAGAGTGGTTATATTCTTCAGTCTCAGAAATACTTTATCAGAATAACAGTTGCTTTCTTTGTTCCTTTAATGCCTACATAATTTGCAAAAGCAATGATCTGTACCAGAAAGAGCTGTACAGGAAACTATCATAAATAAAAAGAAATTAAGCAAAGTTAGTGGAGCTGATTGCGACAGGACAGGAACTGTGCAAACAGCTATAAGAATAAAGAAGGAATTCAAGAATAGCAAAGTCACCATGAACATTCATCCTGAACCACCCTAGAATTATTTGAGAGCAGATAATCAAATCAATGTATTTATTCAAATTACAGCCCTGTGCTAGTAATGACTGCATTAGGTGACTATTCACACTCAGACAGCAGGTAGCAGTCATATCATTGCTTTTGCTATGTTACACAAAACTATGGGAAATGTCTGTAACTAGTTCCAGTAAATATGGTATCTTAAAATTAATGTAAGCACTCCCACTAGCAATATAACACAAAAGAATTGCTAATAGAAGAATCTGAAAAAAAGTTTCCAATTATGTTAATCCCAAGCCTATCAGCAGAAAGCTGTAGGATTGTAAAGATTTTTTTTTTTTTTTAAATAAATATGCTTCCCATCAAGATTTCTTGTCCACAGTGAAAAGTTCCTTCTAGAATTGACACAAGCAGTACTCCTATATATCTGCTGAAGATCTTCATCATGTTCTCATAGTCAAACCCATGTTTGTTTACCTAAAGTACTTCTCCCCTCCCCACCCTGCCCTTCTATGCCATCCAGCTGAGTTTGAGAACAAAAAATAAAACAAAACCCAAAGGCATCTCACCTCAGTGCCCTTCACCTGGAGGAATTATCGCCATGCGATGTTCCACCCATAGAGCTTCATTGCAACTGCCGTCTGCTTCCAGCAACTGAACCAGGCTATATGCTTGACATAAGACAAACTAATGCTTTAAAACAACCAGTAGTTTGATATCAGGGATCTGCATTCCCTGATCTTCATTCACTCCTGTTCTCTGCTTTATCAGTTCTACACAAAATGAGCAGCTGGCAAATATCAGTGTACAATATAAGGTTCAAATGCTAGGAAATATGATGACAAAAGTCACCCAAGGAGCAGATGCATTTTTACCTATCCTGGATGCAAGCTTGAAGAAAGATTTTTCCTAATCTTTAACACAGGTGAACCTGGTCCTTCCCATAAGCAACTGAACATGGCTGAAATGTGTTTTTCTCTTCTCATCAGGACGCAGCACTCCATTTCCTTGCTTCTGTATAAAAGCAAAGAGATCCTATGGGTCTGAGCATTCTGAAAAAGTCCTTGTTGCCATCTGCTTGGAAAAGAACACATTGGATGTCTTATTATCCCTGCAATGTCACTGGACCCCCTTTCGCAAAACTGAGAGCTTCAATAATTCAAACAAAGACGTAAAGGCTGAAGGCCCTAAACCCACCTCGATCTTCTGTCTCACTGAATTGATTAGTGGCAGTATTATGATATGCCTGATATTCCCAAGGGCTTGTCTTGTTGATATTTTATTTTCTAACTTTCAGCTTTGTATGTAGCAATTATAGCCAATTTTCTCCAAAATGACCTAAAAATTTATACAATTACACTTGAGAGAGCAAAGGAAGAAATAGAAGTCGATGTGGAGGATAGATGTACACTGAATCAATTATAGCTAAAACATACAACTTGAGTTAAGTTTGTAGGGCACTAAATGACAAAGCTCCAAGCCCATGCAAGGAAATCAGTGACTGGATGAGCTGTTCTTCCCCACTAAGGTCTTCTACAGTGAGGAAAGTCTTTAAGTTGCTACTCAGAATTCATACCAACCTTGCTGAAATGCACTGCCTAGGGAAAGGCACAGGATTAGCACTATATCAGGGTGCCTGGCTCAGTCCTGTGCCAGGCTGGCTCCGGCATGCAGTATTGTCATGCAGCAACAAGCAGGAGCCCAGGCAGAGCCCAGGGATGGGCATACAAAGGCTGGCAGCCCCATTCCCAACCACAGAACAGAAAGCCATCACTGCACATACAGCTACTCTATGGTACAAGATCCCTCTAAACATTAAAAAAGTATGAGAGAAGACAGGCAGGCAGAAGGGAGATCCTTGTTTTTCATAAGTTCCTTTCTTTCCCTGATGATTAAATCAAATCTGACCATCTTCTAAATTCATTTTATCATCTTTTATTGAATTTTTTATGTAACATTTTCCATGGCCATATTACTTCAGTTTTTTTCATTATTACTGCCCTATTTTTAACCTCAGTCTTCCCAGAATTTGGCTCATAGATTTACTGCATAAATCACAAGGCTATTCTGACTAATCTTATAACAGAAATGTCACGTATATTACTTTGCATAGAAAACAACATTATCCAGAAATGCCTAAGCACTGAAGTTTTAACAAATTTGTGGAAAAAGTACATATATCCTGCTACTAGTTTTCTATTGTCATTTTGGAGAGACCACAGCTTCCCCACATTCTAGCCTCAGCAGGGATGAAAAGCATCACCTTAAGGGGAGGCACAGTGCTGCTTGATTCATTAACTTTTCTAATGAAGATATAGAACAGGCATGCCAGGATGCAGATCTAGGGTAGACAAATCTTCTTTTAAAAATTCAGTGCTTATTTGTTCAGTACAGATGACAGTTCTTATAACTGAAACAAAACCCAAGCAAGAGATAAGAAGGCAGCTCAAAGACTCAGCCTCACAATTTTTTTTTCCTGAAACCTGTTTCACATTCAATTCAGAAGGCTACCACATTAATGCAATCTAATTGTAAAACATTCCAAGTTCAAGCTAGAAAAAGGATGCCAGACATCACCAAGCCTGCTGACATAAAAAAAACAAGAGAGAAGGTGCTGAGCTCTTCACCAGGCCCAAATGTCAGTGGTTGCCTTCCAGCTCTTACAGACACCAATTGACAAAAACGTTCCTTTTATCTGAAAGCATGAAAAGGAGGCAAAAGGAAGAACATACCTTGAGTTGCTAAGCTAAGTAATGCTTTGTGCCTCCAGAAGAGAAATGATCTATTTAGACAATTCTG